TGCATTTTTTTTTATTATTTAAGTTATTGTACAAAAAGATTGTATGGTATGATATAGTGAATATTTTTAGTGACATAACTTTTAATTTTACAGATCAGGTAAAGAGTGATTTAAGTCTATTGATTAAAATAAATAATTCATAACGAGAGTTTTGCTTATAATGTTAATGCTACTTAACATCGATTTTTCTATTAAAAAATCCCTAATTCAAATCATATTTTATGATTACCAAAATAATCAGGAAACAGAAATATATTATGAAATATACGAAATGGTTTAATATCTTAACAAAGATTAATAAAATAAAAAAAACTATGTTTAGGGAAATTGTCACTAATAAGTAACCAATATACGTTATGATGTTGTTCAGATAAATATTAATTTCTATGAAAAATTCATTTTAAAACATTTAGTTTAAGTAAATGAAAAATTAAAACCATATTACTATAATTTTTTATTTGATATTATTTACCTTCTATATTTTGTATATAATATTACATAATATTGTATTAAAAGAATCATATTATTAGTTTTCGAGATACAAAAGCCAAATAAGGTTTATTATATTCATCTTCTTAACTTAACTATCAGTGTTGTAGTGCTAAAAAATTTTTCCCTTGAACGCAGTTTGCCGTTAATAGATCTAAATAGGAATGAATCGAAATTTAAATTTTAACATTGTTTGCATGTTTTATTTTCTATCCAATAAGGAGGATAACTCTAGATAAAAAATAATTAATAAACATTACAAGAAAAAAAAAACTTTTCAACTGTTACATACAAAAAAATAAAATATTGGGTTTAACCTAAAAGAATTGAATTGATATAGTTTCAGTTGATTTTCTAAACATTACGTTCATTTCATACAAAGTTTATCCCAAAATGAGTTGCAATAATATCAAAAATGTGTAAAGTAGACGCAAATACGGTGGTCGACAAACAACACTGGTGGTAACACTAAATAAACCACAGACTTTTCATCTGTTTTTTTTTAAGAAATATTTATTTATGATCAATAAGTTATTATTATTACTTCACTTTACGAACAATGACCTAAATGATTATCGATTTAAAGTCCTGGAACGGCGTTACACAAGCAGAAAAGTACCTGTGAAATTTGGTCTTTATTACACCCCAGATAATTAAGCCCAGAACTTATACAGTATTAAAAAAAGAAATTTGTTTCTTAACAAATAACAAGTCATTTGTTTAAAAACTTAACAAATAAAAATGTTTAAAAACTTAATATTTAATTAATATTAAGTTTTATTTACTATTATTTAATTATTTATTTAATTTTTTATTATACTATTATTTATTTAATTATTTATTATACTATTATTTATTTAATTTATTAATATTAAATTTTATTTAATATTATTTAATAAAAACTTTATATTTATTTAAAAACTTAACAAATAAAACATGCACTGTAAAAATACGTATTACAAATAAAAAGTTTTAGGTATTAAATATTTTTTGATGTAACACCCCGATAATTGGAATAAATAAAAATAAATAACATACATTCCTAATATCTTTTCTTAAATAATTTAAGACTTTTTATTTGGGAATAATACGATTTTATAAATTTTGTTTTCTTTATTATTTTATTCTTCGATAATACACCATAAAGTTAAAACAAAACTATTGTAAAAAATGATGTGTGTTACATCCAAAATAACTAATTACAACTTAACATTGAAGTTATAATTTCCACGAAAAATGCACTTAATCTTCCTTATATTAAATAATTCAACAAATCAAATCTTACTTGAAGCGAAAGTGATTCCAAAGTGATTTAGTAAAGAATAACCGAGTAAATTTATTTATTTAGGATTAAAAAATTATAAAAAAGTACAGTATTGCATTTCTATATCATATAGTAAAAATTCACAAATAAAAAATACGATGTGGATGTAGCATATTTCAACAGAAAAAATCAATTGAATTATTAATTAATAACTTAATAGCTATTAACTTGCTGAACAAATTAAAAAGTTTTGACGAATTTACACGTGTAATAAAACAAAGTATTTTCTCTTTATATTTATTTAAAATGCGTTTACGTTATTAACCCATTTGAGAACATTAAATAAATCAATAAAACTCCAGATCAATAATCAATAACAGACTCAACAGTTTGAAATTGATTGAGTGGTTTCCATTCAAGTAGGACACAATAAATTATTAATAACCATTACTACTTCCTTTAAAAAAAAGTTAAAGACAATTAATTGAATTAAAAGTAAAAAAAAACACAGATATACTAAAGGAAAAAAAAAGAAATATTTAAATATTAATACCAGTTCATGATTGATTTAAAGTGATTAGTATCAATAATTATATCAATAACATTACAAAACCACTTAATTCATACATGAAACATATAATTTTACAAGCCTAAAATAATCTATCAAAATAAATGTACTCAAATCAATAAATTTAAAAAGTGCAAGGATTTAAAAAAAAATGAATGAAACGATAATTTACAAAGAGGCTTGAAAAAATCTCAAACTTTTTTTTTTTTTAAATTTATTCAAGTAGCAAAAAGATTATTACAATATCTAACATACCTGATATAAGGTGAACTATAGTAGGCTGAAAATGCGCGAAGATTTTGTTCCAGGCGCAGCCAACAATACGCTGCTTAAATCAATCAAATTTATCAAAACAATAAAATTAAGTAAATTATTACTGATTAGTTAACTAAATTATTATTGATTGTCTTTTAATTGATATTACGAAATATATAATCTAAGAACGTCAGAAAACCAGTCAATTCAAAATAAAAAGTAATAATTTATTTTTTAAAAAAATGCACCCAGATTTTTAAAAAAAAATGAATAAAAACTTATATTACAAAGGGGAAAGGTTAAAAAAATTTAATGATAAACCTTCTTCAAAATATATTCAAATAGGAGGAAGGCTATTATCAATATCTAGCATACCTAATAAAGGGAGAGCTATAAAAAGGTTGAAAATGCGAAAAGGTTTTGTTCCCAGACGCAGCCACTAATGTACTGCTTAAATCAGCATGTATTAAAAAATTACCATATGTAAACAACGATCTGACTGCACGCTGTTTTGTAATGAGAACACAATGTAGCTCCCATTTATTTCTCCTCCTCAAATTAAAATAAGAGGAAGAATAAAAAATAAATAAATGAATTTTATTAGAAATGATTTCTATTTGTATGTTTATTGATATTTTATGCTTTTTTGATGCTTTAAATTTTTATTTGAAGCAAAAACTCCAAATACTGCCGAAGTGCATAATTTACTTAAATGTAAGAAATTTTTTGCATTAATGACTAATCAAAATTTTTAATTCTCTTTAATTTAGAACTAAAATTCAAGGAAATTCTTATTTTTAATGATGACAAGGGTATTTGTTGTTTAAAAGCCGCACAAGACGATGCACTGAATCTAAATTCGTTGTAAAATGCTCTTTCGTGAATAAATCTCGTAATCTGCTTAATAGAATTTTAATTTTAAATAATTAGTTTTTTAGTTTTCGGTTGAAAATATTTTAAATACATACATTCCACACAAATATATAATGTTAATTTCAATCCAGTTATAATTATACATATTTTTTTTCTTAAAGTCAAAAGTGCTACATTGCGATTTTTAATATTTAAACAATAATTTACGCTTTTGTTCAGTTGGAATTAGTAATTATTTTACATTGCAATCATTATATTTCATATCATAAAATCTTTTTATCTATTGTTTTTTTAACAATCATAACATTGTCATTTTCGAACAAAGCACATGTAAAAATTCATATTAAAACAACCTTTTTCTGTGCTATCAGGGGTCTGTCCAGACATTTTGTGAAAGGTCCGTTTTTCGTGAAATTGTGAAAAAATTACTCACATTCTTTCAATCAGGGTCCGCTTTTATGAATTTGTGCAAATAGGGTCCGTTATTGCAAAAAAAAAAAAAATTTCAAGGAGTTTTTAAACTGTAAAGACATACATGATAATGCTCAACACTGTAAAATTATAATTAAAAAAATTAAATTTTAAAAAATAAACAACAATTGCTACTTCTAAATTAGAGATGCAACATACAAATATTTGGTATTTAGCCTATACTGTTGAACGCAGAATATTCATTTCGGACGAATAATGGAAGAATCGTCTGCCGAAGATAAAACTTAATTCGTTTGCATCCATCTTTCCTGTTTTCTGCCCTGGAAAGGGTTTATTCGATTGACAAAGTAATAATAAGGATAAACAAATTTTTGAAGGGTCCGTTTTTAAGTTAAAATATTTTGTGAAGGGTCCGTTTTTATGGAAAGATATTTTGTGAAGGGTCCGTTTACGGACCCAAATTTCTTCTAAACAGACCCCTGCCTATAGAGTATATTTTAATCATACCAAATTTTACGAAAGTAAAAATAAAAACACTACGATTAATAATAAACAGATAAAATTTTCATAATCGTAATATCATTCCAATCACTATAAAAATCTTGATATAATAATTTGTAATTTCAACATGTCGAACTTACATAACATTGACAACTTATTGAACTAGCATATCATATTAATAATAACAATAGACGGCAAAATGAAGCATTTAATTCGATTTAATACATTTCAAAGTATTCAAATTACTAAACTTACCAGATTTGCAAAAATAAAACAAAAATATATTTCGGAGAAACAATTTACAACCACCTACTTTAATAATACAATAAAGTTTAATTTTAATTCAAATTTTGAACTTTGGTCGTGTGGTAGGAATTTTAAGTTAGTAAACGCAATTTAAAATCGGTAATCGGAGGAATACAATTTGAAGTTTAAAGACAATATAGGAATACATTTTAAAATTTCAACCATTAAAACAGGGATATTAAAAAAAGTTCACGTGTGTTATTATTTCAGATATACATTTTACAAAACATGTTAAATATCACCATGCTTTATCATTACATATCAACAAACGTTAAATATAAATTTGATGATTAAAAATGATAATAAACTTACCTTAGCAGGTGGATGTTGTAGCTGCGAATCAAGATCAACATCATGAATGTAGAAAGAGGGGCACAGGGGTCATTTGTCCCCCCTCCTTACTTTTTATTTATTTCAAAATAAAGAGGGAACCACAGATTGGCACAAAAAAACAATGAAGTTTTCTTTTCTTTCTTCCTCATTCAAAGATGACGATTCAATTTAGGTGTCCATCATTCGTTAGGATGAGAAAATAAAATTCATGTACATTTGTAGGAGGGCGGCTCCAGGGCGGCACCTCTCAGCAAAGAGAAGAAGAACTGTGTTGGCGGTGGCAGGGGCTCGCGGTCAGGCAAAAGGTCTTCGTCCGTCGACCCTAAAGGGCCGGCGTAGTGATGGACGGAGTCCGCGGCCCCGGCCACGGGTCAGTGAGCCGCAGCCATCGAATGTGGGGGCGGAGGGGGTGACTGCATGAGATTGCTGGGGCTGTGCGCGTGTAGAGGGCTTCCACCCATCATTAGTCCACCGTCACCTTGCATTTGACCGGTACCCATATTAACAGGGGGTGTCATACGCTTCTCTTTCTGTCGACGATTGCAAAACCAAACCCTGACAACCTCTTTCTCAAGCTGAAGACTGTCCGCCAGGCTGGCTATTTCTTGAGCCGCTGGCTTAGGCTGCTTGTGGAAGTGGTTCTCAAGCGCTCCTTTTACTGAAACCTCGATACTCGTTCGCTTTTTTCTTTTGCGCCCCTGCGCGGCTATTTTGTCTATGGATGTCGGTGAACCGGTAGTACTGTCTGCTTCTTCAAGCCACTTTGCTAATAGGGGCTTCAACTTACACATGTTCTTGAAACTTAGTTGAAGAGCTTCAAACCTGCATATAGTTGTCTGGCTAAAAACATTACCGTACAAAGTTCCCAGGGCCAGCCCGACGTCCGCTTGGGTAAAACCAAGTTTAATACGTCTTTGTTTAAATTGTTTCGCGAATTGTTCTAAATCGTCCGAACTTGGGGCTTCTTCACCGGGCCCCAGGGGACCACAGTCATCTGGGTGTCTATGTCCATGATCCATCGGATGAGACAGATCATCGTGGGGATGATGGTGATGATGATGGTGGTGGGGATGCTCAGAATGTTGCATTTCCCTCATAGCAGGGTGTAATTGAGAACCATGTCCTCCAAGCATACCATTCATGCCATAATGTTGGAGATGATGATGCGGAGATGCACTATTTCCTCCCGGACCCCCCATGCCGGACATATGAGATGATGCAAGGGAAGAATGATGCCATGGATGAGAGGCGGCCATGTGCTGGGGTGGACGGTGATGGACACTATGCAAATCAGGGGGTTTCACATCTTGAGCGGCGTGCAGGCCAGGTGGTGGCATGGCGGCTGACCAAGCATCGTTATGGGGCGGCAGGCTCACCCAGTGATGCTGGGGCGCCAGTGCATGGTGTCCATTATGACTCTGGTGTTGGGGCGGCATGTACTTCATTTCTGGAGGCTCTCTAGCGTAGGCGGATTGCGATGTGGCGACTTGCATTCCTGGGCTTTCAGGACCGGTGGCGAGTGAATTCACCAGGCCGGCAGACGAGAGGTAAGGGCTCGTGCTAGCCATCGGAGTAAGGACATCTCAATTCGGCAAGCGTTGCCGCGTGTTGTGAGGTCGGGGAAAAACGAACAACGATCGAAGGGCGAGCGGCGCGCCCGTGGCTCCGCCTGTCCGTGACGTCGAAGATTACCATTGGCAGAGGAGGGGTGGTCGCTGTCACAGGTCGTAGCGCTCCAAGGTCGTGCGGGGCGGAGTCAGCCAGGGAGATGGATGGCCCTTCGTAAACAAGGGACCGACTTCACCTGCTGTCACGTGCTGTAAAACTCCTCAGTCTGTTTCACCCTGCAAAAGAAAAACCCCTCGTCAGCGAATGTCGATAGAAGGTTCCACCCTCTCTCTCTTTCTCCTCACTGGAGAGAAAAAATACAAAAGAGATAACTAGACATTCTGTTGTGAAGAGAGTACTCTTCCACAAATGCTTCTTATTTTTCCCTAAATGACTACCCCCTCACTCTATCAACTCACACTTTTATTCCGATTATTTAGTTTTTTTTTTCAACTCAAAAGATCAGATACATCAAAGGATTTCTATTATATTCAGACTTTTATTTTTTACTCCTAATTGAAAAATGCTATTTAATCAAACGACCGAATCTGATCGGAATGGGTAATAATTTTGTTTACCATGCGGAAGCATTTTATTGAAAAAAAAATGTTTGAAAATTCAATTTATTTTTTCTAATTTGAACCCTAGAGTTAATTTGAAAACTATATTGCTAATTTATTGTTTTAGAAAAAAAAAATTTATTGCGAGAATTTTTGTTTTTTATTTATTTTATTTATTTACTTTTAAATGGGAAGGGGAATTTAATTGCAACATTTTGTTAAGCATTTAAGCTATCATTTAAATGTGTACAAAAATACTCTCAAAGAAAATAAAAAATATAAAAAAATCTTTTTTCATAAAAATTACCTTTTATAAGTTAAATGTTTAATAAACTCCGTTTTGTTTAGTGTTTGATAAACTAAAATTAGTTAAATGAATATGAAAATATTAATATTACGAAATTAATGATATTTTTATAAACAAAACGATGAAGTAATATCGATAAATTTAATAACCTGAATAAAGATTGCAAATTTCTGCGAGCTGTTTTGATTTTAAAACTCACAAAATAATATAACAAAATAAAAATATTATAAATAATAACTATTTTTATAAATAATAATAATTATTATATTAGAAAATTAGTAATTGATAATTATTATTATTATTGAAAAGCATCATCAAATTAGTTCTCAAAACCTAGATGTTGATAAAAAGAAATTGTGTAATCTTCAACACTGGCGCTTAAAAAAAATTTTATTCATTATTTTTCGATCAATTTAATAACAACAATAATTATTCTTGTTACCAAATTTATTGAAAATTAGCAATCAATTCAATTTGGATGATCAGTAATCAGTTACCTACTTATAAATTACTTTTTTAATAAAAATATCTAAGTGTAAAATACATTTCTATTCTTCCATGTTATTAATAAAGGAAGCTTACCCCAAAAGAAGAATTTAACAATGAAGCAAAATTAGATGCTTAGAAGTCAAAAGGCAAAATTAATATTATTCTTTTTTGATGCAATTCTTAGTTTATACAGTTTTTTTTCTCTTCCAATTATTCGCATATTAATCTTCAACGCAAATAGATGCTTCGTTGAAAAGAAATTTCATTTTTATTAAAACTAAAAATATTTTAGTTTTAATTCCGTATGAAATAGAAATAAAAAAATCTTAAAGCTTGATTGAAATTAAAAGGCTTACTCAAAACATTAGCTAAAATCATCATTCTCGTTTTGAAGTTCATTTTCCCAGACAGTTATTGGTATTTTATTTATTTATTTGTTAGCATTTTAAAGGCGAAAATTAATTCATGTTATTTGCAAGGATGCACTTTTATTCAAACAACCTATATATAAAAAAATAAATAAATAAACTTTTGACCAAGTAAAGTAATTTCATTACTAATACATAATAATGAATCGTTATTCCGAAAGTCTCGAACTTATGATTTCTAATTCTGATGAAATCTGATACACAGATTTTTAATCATGAAAATATACTTTACGTAGGAATGCTTTTCTTCGTCTTCTTAGGCCCTACAGCCGGTCACAGGCCAAGCCCTATAACCACGTCACTACTTTATCTAACTATTTCGATCTGGGCTTTCTTGTTCTAGGCCTTCTTCTTTTCCCTGTGGTGTTAGGAAGGTTATTTTTTTTTAAACATTTTCTTCGCTGTATCAAAATACATGTCCTAGTAATGAATCCATGTTCTGGTTATAAATACCTGTCCTTGTAGAAAATACATTCCTTGAAACTGAAAATGGTGTATTGAAGGGGTGTTTAATTAAACACCATTGTCCATAAGGAAATTGTAATTAGACGAAGGTTAGAACTTTAAAATAATCATAATTTTATAAAAGTTATAGACTTTGTATTGATGTGAAGTGTAAAAATATTAAATATATATATGACGCATTTGTATAATTATCGTAAGTTAAATAAATAAAAAATCGTAACAGAAAAGCTGTTCACTTTTTCTGCAATTTCAAAATCAGCATGTTGTAAAGTCTCAAATTCTGTGGAAGGTACTATTCTTATTAATGCCTTACATTTAAATCAGGCAATTTACAAGTATAAATGAAACGGACGAAAAGAAACGAAACGATCAAAAAACGAAAGACCATAAGCATATATACTCAGTGGCGTTGTTAGAGGGGGAACATCAGCCTCAGGCGCAACTTCAAAGTGGTGTCAAACTCGTGGAATATAATTCGGAATGAATTCTAGAATATATATTTTTTTCCTTTATATACGATAGTGTAAAAAATTTCGGATCAAATTACGGTATAAAGCATCGGGACTTAGAGGGCATCATCTGTAAAATCCATTTTACTGCAAAATTCATCTGAACCATGAAATATTATACCGTAATTTTTACATTAATATTTATTTAATTAGAGTGATTCAGTGATTTTACGGTAATTAGTACTGTAAAAATTACGGGATATCAGATTTTTTGTTTCGTAACATGTTCCCGTAAAAATGGATTTAGAGTGCCGGTACTATTAGTAGCAATTTGATCTGGAGTTTTTTAGAGTGCACCTGTTTCATTTACTCATTCTGAACCCCATAACTTCAATTTTCTTATCCGCTTGACTCAAATATTTGACAGGATCTCTATTATTATTGCAGTTCTCATTGCACGTAGTTTTTGTTTTCTTTTTTTTTTAAATTTTTTTAAAAATTATTTTTTATTAAAGGAAGGTATTTTTTATTAAGGTTATTAAAGAAAATTATCTATTAATTAATAAATCAAAAAATAAAAACGCGATTGAAAATATTATATGTGTAAGATGCATTAGTAACATACTGTAAATTTTTAAACAAATCGAATGAAGAATTATTACGCGCAAATTGAAAGTCTGTTTAAATCTCCCCCTTTTTTTAAATGTAATTTTACACCAATTATTAATGCAATTATTCCTATTTGACATTACATGTTTTTCCTTCGATTGTTCATGATCAATGATTCTCAAATAAGTTGACTAGGACATATATTCCTATGCAGCGATGAAAATCTTCTAAATAAATTAACCTTCAAAACACCAAAAGGAAAATTAGGAAGATGAGTTTGAACAAGATGGTTAGATATAGGACAGAAGTGGTAAAAAGGACTTCAGAGTTAACAAAAGGAGGAATATGGCACCAAATAGATCTAGATGGGGTAAACTGACTGAGACTGCTTTGGTCGGCAACTGGCTGTAGTGCCAAAGAAGAAGAAGTGTTTCTATATGCCTAGATTAGTGACTTACGAAAAGGTAGAAATCCTGACTTATAGTGAGCAAGGCGTTTTGTCAAATGCAGGTGTGCTTCAAAGCAAGCGTTTGTGCGTAATTTTTTGAGCATTTTCTATCCCAGCCATCTCCAGGAATTGGAAAAGAAGAATACAAAAGGAAGTTATTAAAACAAAATAGCAATTCTATCGTTTTAAAATAAACGTAAAATGAAAATAAACATATATAAAAATAAGCATTATAAAAATTCTGATGATTTTACTGTTTGTTACTCTGTCCCGCGTGACATCATTTATGGTCGGCCTCCATGAAATAAATGGTATGTCATAGTTATGATTAAAAACATCCTGACTTACAAATTTGTTTATAAATTTAAAACACGCATGATATGGTTAATTGTACTATTAAATTTTTTGCTTCTTTATTTTTCAGCTTTGAAGCCGACAGCATTTGTAGCATCAGCCTAGCTCAGTTCAAAGTACTGAACCAATAATTGCAGTATAAGTATTGAATAGATTTTTAATAAATACGCTTTTATTATAGTCCTCGGTCAATTAGTAAACAGACCTTTTGGTGCCATATGCTTGACACGTTTGGCTTAATAAATAAAAAAAATTATTAATCTCGAAATATTGAATATACATCGATGACATATAGAAAAATACAGATAACCTCCAAGAAAAGACAAGCATAATAATAATCTTCAGCCGTACAAAAGAACTGGGAGGAATTTCCAATTAATAAAAATATAAATTATTTAAGTAGCAATAACGATAATCTTTTCTTTCGGAAAATTGTTTTATTAATTCCCATTCTTCTTTAATGGATTTCTAAATTAAGCTGTGGTTGAAGAAAAAAATAGGAAACTGTTCTTTGTGTAAAGTGATATTGCCAACGAGTCATTGTTTTGTCTGGCGAGTTCATTTGGCGGCTTTTTATAATTGATTCCGCCACACAGAAAGTGTGAGATCAGCATTTGTATCATATTAGATCTTATTGCTTTACGGCCACGAAATGTTAGATCATTTATGAAAAAAAATATCAATGAATGTTTTGAGTGGTTGTTCTTTTGTTTTGTTAAACGATGACATTAAAATTTAATTTCTCAGCAAAGTTTGCCTGATTGAATTACTCAGTCCGATAACTCGTGTTATAATTTTTAAGCAATCCAGGAACAAATTCATGTAAACAGAGAAGAACAGAAAAGCCGGATGTTTAAAAATGTAGGCAATTATTTCAATTAAGACGTAATTCGTATATTAGACTAAATACACTGTAAAAAATTACTGGCACTCTGAATACGGCATCCGTGAAATCCATTCAAGTGCAAAATCCATTTTTACCGTGAAATTTTAGATCATTTCACAGTAAAAATTACGGTTTATCAGATTTTGCTTGTTCTGAAAAATTTTACGGTCAAAATGGATTCAGGGTAAAATGTACCTGTACCCTGAGTGCCGGTACTTTATACAGTAACTTGATCCAAAAT